GGGGTGGGGGAGCGGCGGGGAGCAGCAGAGGGCTGCGGGAGCAGCAGAGGGTTGCGGGAGCAGCAGAGGGATGCGGGGAGCAGCAGGGAGCAGCAGAGGGATGCGGGAGCAGCAGGGAGCAGCAGAGGGTTGCGGGAGCAGCAGAGGGATGCGGGAGCAGCAGAGGGATGCGGGAGGAGCGCCTGCCTTGCTCTGCCCGCCCCGCCGGGCGGCAGGAATTACACGCACTGGCACAGGGAACTTGCTTCTTAACAGATCACGGAATTGTCAGGGGTGGAAGGGACCTCTGGAGCCAGTCCAACCCCCTGCTCCAGCAGGATCCCCAGGAGCACATCACCCAGGGCTGCATCAGGGGGGTCTGGAATGTCCCCAGAGATGGGGACTCCACACCCCCCTGTCCCAGGGCTCTGTCACGCTCCTACTGGTAAAACCTTCACCTTCCCGGGAAGGCTGCAGGTCGGTGCTCCTCGCTGGTGCAGGGGCTCACGGAAAGGGTGTCGGGTGTGTTGTGTTGGGGCCTGGCGACTGCCCAGTGCCGAGAGGCACGGCTGGAAACAGCTGCAGCCCCGAGAAAAGGTCTGTGTCCTCGGTTCAGGGAGCAGCACCTCACCTGTCTTCTGGCTGCGTGAAACCAGACGGCACCGTGTGTTTGTGCCAGGGGCCCTGCGGGGGTCCCGGGACTGGGTGGGGGACCCCGGGACATGACCTGGGACCCCACACAACAAACACGGGACCCCAGGACAAGGTGGGGGACCCTGGGACAAGGTGGGGGACCCCGGGACATGACCTGGGACCCCGGGACAAGACCTGGGACCCCACACAACATGGGACCCCACACAACCTGGGACCCCGGGACAAGGTGGGGGCCCCCGGGACAAGGTGGGGGACCCCGGGACATGACCTGGGACCCCAGGACAAGACCTGGGACCCCACACAACAAACACGGGACCTCGGGACAAGGTGGGGGACCCCGGGACATGACCTGGGACCCCGGGACAAGACCTGGGACCCCAGG